AAGCCAATAAATGCAACAGAACTGTATCTGCACTGTCTCGTGGAGTTCTTTGGGCTGAACCTGACATCACCTGCATTCAGGATTTGGTTTGATTTTTTTCTTTTTTAATGGAGTTAAGTAAAATCTGCTAAGTGTTTCAGAGTGAACTGCCAGCTTTGGGGCGAAAGGGAGCTAGGGGTTTGCACACGCAGGCATAGCGGTCGATTTTATGCTTACGGAAAGAAAATGACAACTTTCTTCTTTTTGAAATTGGGTGAAACCTGGAGGCTTGGTTGCACTTTTATCAGGGTACGGAGTATCAAGTGTCAAGCTAGCAGCCGCAGGAGATATTGGTCGGGAGAGATTTGACAGTGAGCTCCGGTGGGCTTCCAATCGTTCTGAAGCACGCTTGATTCAAATTTGTTTGGAATCAGGGACCTCTCCAAAGTAAGCTGAAGTCTGACCCGCTCTAACTTTCTTTGGCTGCATCAGAAGCACTTTGGAATTCTCAACACTTAGAGATTTTTCACATGATGAATTTAGCACATTGCCGGAATATTATTCTGAGTTATATAAAGAACCACTTCCTTTGGCAAACATTTGGCACATAACACGTTTTCTAGTGTGATCCGTGCTCATTTGGGTTCAGCTTTTTCTTAAAGACATAACATTGGGGATGGGTTTAACATTTCGTACCTTCTAAAAAAAGTATTATTATTACTATTACTGTTACTATTATCATTATTATGGTTGGTCGCACAGTCAGCCAGATGTTTAGAAGGATTTGGCATTTTTATCCACCTATTGAGTCCTTCCCAAGGACCTGGGATAGGCAGATGTTGTTGTTCGATGGTTATTATTATTAATTATTATCATTATTATGGTTGGTCGCACAGTCAGCCAGATGTTTAGAAGGATTTGGCATTTTTATCCACCTATTGAGTCCTTCCCAAGGACCTGGGATAGGCAGATGTTGTTGTTCGATGGTTATTATTATTAATTATTATCATTATTATTCTACATTCCATCTAAGATAAAGCCACAATAAAACCAACGATGCTTAAGTGCATGGATGCCACAAATTAAAATAAAGTTCATTACAGTAAAGCAAAGAATCAGGCAGTCTAAAATGCCATCTCTTTCCTGGAACACTTTTATCACACTTTCAGACCATACTGGCTGGGCAATAAATCCCTCTTGCAAGAGGAACTCAGCCCCGCATTCAATATCAGCAGACGTTTGACAAACGTGATACAACCAGATATGCTGCTTCCTTACTGGCAAGGAAGAAGTCACATTTATGCAGAGAATTTGTCTACTGCGGAACACAGAAATCAAACCCTGCGTGTGTGTGTGTGTGTGTGTGTGTGTGTGTGCGTGAGATAGATAGATAGAGAGAGAGAGAGAGAGACAGAGACAGAGACAGAGACAGAGACAGAGAGACAGACAGAGAGATAGACAGACAAAGAGACAAGGAGACAAGGAGACAGACAGACAGACAGGCAGATAAAATATCTGTGTATGTATGCACAGTATATTATATACACTTTGCCAGCCCCAGAATTTAAGTGTTAACACTTTTGCTGGGGCGACGGGCAGGAGGGTGTCAGACTGATGAAAGCAGTGTTGTGTCCTTGTGGTACAAGCCCCACCCCTCTTCTCCCCATGTGGCAACCCCACCTGCACACCCCAAAGGAGTAGGGGTTACGGTGCAATAATTCAATGTTGCTTTCCTATTTCACAAAAGCAGCAGGTCCCAGCCCACGCTACTACTTAGCCCATCACAAAATGGTTCTGCCTGGCCACCTCTTCACTTCAACGCTTCCATGTGCGCACATATCTAGGTAACAGGCACATCTTCCATGCTATGTTGATGCATAATGTGTGTTGATGCTTTGTCTGACCGAGCCAAGAACCTCTTTTAGTTGAAAAAAAAAATGTTGGCAGTTGTAATGGTTTTGTGGCAGAAAACCAAGGGCCTTTTAAAGCAGGCCTTCTTAACCATTTTGGGCTAAGTACCCCTTCGAGAGTCTGGTGAAACCTATAGACCCTTCTCAGAAAACAGTGTACTGAAATGCATTAAATAAATAAAATACTCAAATAACAGTTTTCAAAATATTTTTAAAAAACCCAATTCAAATAATTTTAGATAGTGAGATTTGCTGACGTTAACAAACATACATCCAGATCAATGTTTCTCAACTTTGGCCACTTTAAGATGTGTGGACTTCAATTCCCAGAATTCCTCAGCCCGCAAGGGGAACTCAGTTGAGAAACACTGATCTAGAGTCTAGAGGCCATACATCACTTTATTGCCTACATTCATTGTTGAACGAAAAGCTAAGTTTCAGGTAGACGTTATTGAAAATAAAGTTGTTTATTTTTCCCACCCAAGTTCATGGACCCCAGGTTAAGAACCCCTGTCACAGAGTCAAGCTATTATAGGCACTGCTTTTGAAGGTTAGCACTAACAAGACTCCTTGTGTAAATACTTGTACCTAGAATTCTAGCCTCAGAAACAGGGGGTGGAGGTCAAAAAGGTCAAGATGACCTCTGCATCTGCATGATTGAAGTCCCTTTTCATTTTTATATGTATGACACGCTTCGTGGGCCTTTTTGATTGCAGCAACCTCCTTGAACTTTCTTTTACCATCCCTGTATGGACCCCCCAGCTCAGAAACAATGGGGAGATCCCCATTTGAGTCCCACTCCTCCAGTAGAAACCCTAAGTACTCCTATCCCTCGCTGGTTTTCTCCCATTCCCACTCAGTTGCACTACCAGCCCATACCTCACAAGGACAGATGCACCCAATGTACTTAACCAGGTGACTTAAAACCTTGCTAAGCATGCTATACTTGGCTAATTTTAACCTTGCTTATTTTGGCTAGGCTATGGTTCAATGGATCATGGACACGTAGAAAACAGGGGAAATCCACAACCGACTTAACCAGGTTGCATGAACACAATCGATAAAGAATTGATGTGTAGGTTTGGGTGTTCCAAGAAAGAGTGTATGTGTCAGTGACTAGGAAATGCAATAGAAACATATAAGAAGTGAGATGTGGAGATGGGGTTAGGATCTATGGGATACCGGTTGGCTAGTTTATGTACTGGTATCTTTTTTGCCCCCACCCTGGACTGCTGAGAGACACAAGCATCATTTTTATGACATCATCCTGCAGATGCTTATTCCAAAATAGATTTGCTCAGTTTAATGGGGAATACTTTCAGCTAACTGGATAGAAGATTGTAGTTTAGTGTATTTTATTAAGGAGTACTTGTAAACCCCATTATTATAAAAATCCTACTTAATTGCCCCAGTGAAATCAATCGAATTTTAATATGCTTAACTGTGATTGAATTTTTCAACCAAATGATCAGAAAAGAAATGAAAAATGTTCTTAAGCTCTAGAGATAGACACAGAGGTGTTGGAATCTCTCACTGCAAGAGAATAAGGTGGTACAGGCTTCAGGAGGAGGAGGGTAGTCCTGCTTAAATCTCTGAACTGATTTATGTCACTTTGGGTACTTCCAGGCATACATATTTTATTGGGCCAAATAAGTCTAAATTGAAAAGAGTTGGGGTTGGAG